GGTTTTCTCTATTAACAACTTGCAAAAATATACTGTGCCATGTTTTCAACTGTATCTTGCTTCTATAGGTGCTAATTTTGAGGTTGACCAGTCAGTGTTTGAGATCCCTAAATCTTACCATGTCCAAGATGATGGTAGGAACATGCATGTGCACGATGAAGATAACGAGATTATGCAGTTTGCTATTCAGCAGAGTCTGTTGGAATCCAGTGGAAACAAAGTAAGTGTGCTGCAATCTGCTCAGTGCAGATCTGTCAGGAAAACTTGACAGGAAATGCGCAGCAATAGCTGTATCTCTAAATTAGCTGTTATGTACAAAGTGCCACGAAGGATGGATTTTCCAAGAACCTCAGAGGAGAAAAATAGAGTAATTTATTCTGAAGAAGAAATAAGAGTGAGTTGCACTGTCAATCTATCAAATTCTTTCTTCAATTTCTAGGAAGTGGGGGCACATTCCAATGGAGCAGTTGCATATTCACAGGACTTCAATATACAGTATCAGAGGTAACTAATTATTTTTCTGTCAAGTCATGCATAATAGACCAAAGAATGTCCAACAGTAGATGAACCATTTTTTTTTTTCTGAAGACAGGTGGCAGATGCACAGAATTCAAGGTCTGTCTTGCTGTGCTGCTTCAAATTTTACTTTTTTTTCCAACAAGCCAGAGCTCCAGGCTGGGCCTCACTAGTCTGTGTAGTATGTCCCTTTAGCTCAGCTCCAGAATTGACCTGCACATGTAACTGATTTTTCTCATATTACACAGCCTTTTTGTTCTGCTATTAGAGCTATGAGTTTGGCCCCTCTGGGTTGGTATATTCCTGAGGAACCCTAGAAGAACAAGTTTTACATACGGCCGTTAGTACTGCTGTCTTACATTGAGAGCTGCTTTCTGCCCTGTAAGATTGTGATTCAGGCTTGCAGACTGAACCTAAGTTGTTAGAGTGGATCCTTGCAGGAAACATGAGAGAAGCTCCATCTCTTCTCCTTCTCAAAGTTCTGTCTTTCTGCTTTCTCCAGGGCGCTGCAGGAGAGCTATCTAACGAGCACAGGTAATTCACAGTGCAGCAGCCCTAGCGAGCCTTCTAGTTTTGAGAAAGACTTGCAGCTTGCCATGGAGCTGTCTGTCCGAGAGCAGGAAGAGCGAGAGAGGCAGCGCCGTGAGGAGGAAGATGCAGAGCTGCAGCAAGTTCTACAGCTTTCTCTTGTGGAAAAATAACTCTTAAAATAAGGATGACCAAAGCTGTGCAAAGCTGGAGGCTTTCAGAGCTCTCAGGCTGAAGACCACTCCTGGATTGCTTAAGTAAACATTTCACCTGCCTTCTTCATTGTCATTGTAATATCAGCTACAACAGCTGATGTTTTTTTAAATTGTTTTATTATTTTTGAGGGAGATTCAGTAACTGGGCATTCTGTGTTTAACTGCCCAGCTGTGCGGCCTTAGCTGTGACATTCTTTTACCTAAACATTTTTATTGAAGAGCAGGTGGAAGGCTTGCTTAGCACCAGGCTTTAGGGTTGCGTTGGAGTTTAAAGACCTGATTTATGAGGAGTTCAGAAGGGAAACTTCTTCATTACTTACCAAAGAAATACTCATCTGTGTAGTCACTTCGGAATAATTCAAAGCCATTGTGTTTGTTTCTTCCAGTTCTTACGTGGAAGGTATCTCTATGCATTCACATACATACAGTAGTTTTCATGCTGACAGATGCTCTCAGTTTTGTTTATACATGATTATTTCTTCTCCAGTCACTGAGACTTTTATCATACGCTCCTGCTTACAAGGGATAGTTTTATACTTGAACAGCTAATCCAAGCATGAGATTAAACTAGTGCTTTCTGAAATCAGACAAACCAAGCAGCCAGTACAATTTTAGCTCCTCAAGTGGGACCATTCTCCTAAAGTAGCACTTTCTGCACTGATTCAACACCAGCTCGTTCCCATAGTCAGAGGGCAGCAAGGAAATAAGTGATAGATCCAGGTGCTTCTTGAGATCACTGTGTGCGTGTGCATGCGTGTGGCTGCTGCTGAATTCAAACAGGAGAAAAGTCAGTTGAGATTTTAATGTATACTTATTGGAAGATCAGTTTTAATCCTGTCATCTGAAAGGGAAAATGTGTGTTGCTTTTTAAAATTCAAACGCTTATCCTTCATGTGAATACATACTTTTTTTATCTGAATCTTTTTATTGATTTTTAAACCAAGCCAAGATGACTGCCCTCCTTGAAATGGTATCATTACAATTCAGAAATAGGTTTTAACAGCTTTCCTCAGGTCTTTCCTCCTACAATAGAGTTGTAGCTATTCTACTTGCACTTCTGTCAGTGTTTACAGTACTCACACTGTGACTCTCAAGTGCACTCCACACGTACACAATGATGTACGCCCACAGGAAGGCCTTACAGCAGTCAAACATCAGCAATATTGCTCAGTCCCTGCTTGCAGTGCTGTGAGAACCTATGGTACGTATGCTGTCATCTTGCTGCCTAACCCTGCACTTCTTGAGCAAACCAGGGCAGCTCTGTGCAGCCAACTGTTAACTCCTTTAAAGTCACTACGACACAACCAGGGAGATGGTTGGTAGCTTAGAACTTCATTTTTAAACCAATTATCCATCCTTCTTTTGGCAATTAAAATTCAGTGTCTATCTGCATCATGCTTAACTTTGCAGCTTGCAACCCTCCATAGCTTCCTGGTGGCTGCAGGAATGGGGAATGCAACTCTTTGCATGGGGGCAGAGGGGCTGTGTTGGAACTGCATCTTTCTTTGAAAAGAGGATTACTGTGACTTTTTCTGGGTTGCAGAAAAGGGAATAAGCCTTGCATTGAGCTCTTGACAACATTATGGGTTAAAAGATGAAGTTGTGTTGGTTTTGTTTGTTGTTTTTTTTCCTCCAGCGGAAATAAAGAGTGCTGTTACCTTTGTAAGAGTGCTATCTGACTTTGCTTTTCCTAGTGAGGATCTCAAAGATGAGAAGGAAAAAAAAAAAAAAGGGGATCAGTGAACTGTCTTCAGCAAATTAAAGGTGGGCTGGTGTTGAGGCTTCAGTGCTCTCGGTCAGTTCTGTATGCACCTTGGGAGTAACAGATAGGAAAAAAGCAGGAGTGAGTTGCACTGTATGTTCATATTAACACTGCTGTCCAAAAATAAAGCCTGTCAATTTTGGTTCCCTGACCAGACTTTAGGATTATGTGGGAAAGCAGAACCTCAGTTACAAAGAGCTGCATCCTTGTTCTGAACCTATGAGTAACTTCTAAGTAGCAGCACCTAAAGGCCTGTAAGTTGTGGCTCTCTTTTTGTGCTGTTTGGAAGTGAGACAAAGCAGGGGCTCTCGGGCTGTTGTTTTGGAGCTGGGTTATGTTCCATGGTAACCCACGATGTGCTTCGTTTGGAAATCCTTTTGCTCATTCTCCTCCCTTGTCCTGGAAGCAGTAAGCTCACAGCTGGGACGTGGGACTGCTTGGCCTTTCACACAGCTACAGCTGAACATCCATGAATAAATAAAGGAGTCCTGCAGTGTTTACTTCTCTTTTATTTGTACAGAGAGACAGAGCAGGGGGTGAAGAATGAATGCAAACAACGCTGCTGCAGGGAGCTCAGCTCAGAGCTGCGCCCACAAACAAGCACACAGCTATGGGCACGGTGTCACATGGAACAAAGGATGCAAAAATCAGCGAGCCAGAGCTCTGCGATTAAAGAGAAGCTCAGAAAGAAACATCCTGCCGTTAGCTTGCTCCCTCATTTGTGCTTCACTGAGGTTAGAAACGAGCTCTGTTTCAGGCCAGGCTCATTTACTGATGCACAGAGCAGCAGCAAAGGGAACCCCCAGCTCCAGGAGCTCTCCCTGCCCTCACAGAGCAGGACCAGCTGGCTGCAGTGCCAGGGCTCGCAGTGCTGACCACCACCTGTATTCCGGAGGTACAGTTTTAAAAATCTAAAATAAATTACTACCCCTGACCCCTATGTTAAATACCAAAGCAATACTCAAGAAGCAAAAATCCAGTTACTATTCCCAGCAGTGCAAAACAAAACAAAACAAAATAGCAGCATCCGTACGCGCGCGTGACTTCAGTGTAAACCCTTGAATTTGTTACCAAAAGCTGCACGGCGTGGATCCGGCTGTGGCTCCAACGCAGAGCTCCCAGAGCTGGAGGGATGCGGTCCTTGTCCACGGCTGCTCCCCGCGGCGCCGGTGCTCAGCGCTGGGGCCGGGACCGCCATCGCTGCGGAGCGGATGCGGTGATGCCGAGCGGAACCCACGCGGCTCCGTGCGGCTGACGGCGACGTCCTCCAGCCCTGGGACGCGGCCGCTACCGCCGGCGGACGGGTTTGTAGACGCAGACGGCCATGAGGACGATGGTGAGCAGCAGGGCGCTGAGGATGCTGCCCAACAGCACTGCGAGGGAGGAGGCCGACAGGTTAAGTCCTCGCCGTACGGCACAAAGCGAAGCCGTCCCGGCCCGCCCCCCCGCTCCTTACCCAGGTTCTGTTTCTGCAGCACGGCGTAGGACCGGCTGCGCTCCGCCGGGGTCAGTGCGGCCAGCACGGCCAGCGCCCAGCCCCGCAGCGACATTCGGCTCGGCTCGGCTCGGCTCGGCTCGGCTCGGCTCGGCTCGGCTCGGCTCGGCTCGGCTCGGCTCGGCTCGGCTCGGCTCTCCGCTTCAGCACAGCGAAGAGCGGCGCTTCCTCTTCCTGCCGCCCGCCCCGCCCGCGTCAGCGCCGCGCCCCACCGCTGTGCCCCGCCCGGCCCCGCGCTCCCCCCTCAATTTTTGCCCGTCTCTCTGTTCCTCCAGTTCTCCCCATCTCCGTGTCGCGCACATCCCCGTGTTCTCTCCATTCCTGTGCGTCTCTCCCCCATCCCCTGTTCTCCCCACTCCCACGTGTCTCACAGAGTCACAGAACGGTTTAGGTTGGAAGGGACCCCAAAGCCCCCCAGCCCTGCCGTGTGCTGGCTGCCCCCAGCTCCGGCTGCCCAGGGCCCATCCATGGCCTCGGGCACCTCCAGGGATGGGGCTCCACAGCTCTGGGCAGCACTGCCAGGGCCTCACTGCCCTCTGAGTGATGAATTGCTTCCTCACACCCAACCTCAGTCTCCCCTCTATTAGTTCAAAGCCATTCCCCCTTGTCCTATCGCTATCAGCCACCACTATCTGCTATCCCTATGTGTCCCCCATCCCTGCGTCACCCCCATGCCCATGTTTTTCCCACCCCGCTGTTGTCCCCATCTCTTTGTGTCTCCTATCCCTGTGTTCCCCCCAGCCCTGGGTCCCCTCCATCGCTGTGTGCCCTCAGCCCTTGGCTGCACCCTCCACTTCTGTTCAGCAGTTGATGAGGGCACACGGAGCCAGCAGCGTGGTGACACCACAGGCATCCCTCAGCCAGACAAGGTGACAGTGACCATGGGGACATCGCTATGCATTGGGCTTCTGCTTTCACCCCAAAGGGGAGCATGGGGGAAATGAACCTCACAAAGCCAAAAAAACACACAGCCTGCTCACAGCTGGGGCTTTGTTTTCTCTTTGAAAGGGGACCAACGCATGGAGCAGTGATGCAGCACCCGCACACCGCACTGCAGGAGGCACCGTGGTCACTGCATGCTTGCAATGCCCGCAGCTGTGGGGTCAGTCAGCTGAGAGGGTGGTGGAAGTGACAGCCTTCTGCCTGCCTGATAGGTGTTACATGGGAGCAGGGAGCAGCTTCTGCATCCCCTCATCGTCCTACAGGACCGGCTCCATGCCCACCGCCTCTGCCTGGGGGTCTCGCACTGTTTTCTCCGGCCGAATGCAGACAGCGAGGCGCTGAAGCAGGAAGAGAAAAGCAATGGGTTCCATTCTTGCAATGGGACCTCGAGCTCTGCTAGCGGGAGCTGCTGCTCTTCCATTGGGCTGCAATAGCCCTGAGCTCTGAGATGTCCCAAAAACTGGTGAAAAGGAGGGGTGACAGCTGGGACAGCGTTGTGCTGATGTAGCTCTGACCTGCTTGAGGGACCCCGGTGTCCAGACCAGCTTGTACACCATGTAGACAGGGATGCAGATGAAGGAAGATGCTCCTATGAGGTGTCCCAGTGAGGTGCTCCATGCTGGGTACTGGTAGCCAAAAAGTGCCAGGGGTGGCTGCTCCAGAAGAGAGCTGGCCACAATAAACTGCAGAACCCACACAGGGCAATCAGGAAGCAGCTCACGGATGTGCTCCAGCTCTGAGCAGCCCTGCTGGCTCTCCGCAGCTGTGGGTCAGCTGCAGCACAAGGCTCAGAGCTGCACTCAGCAATCCTGCCTGGTTGCCAGCTCCAAGCTTTGCCCTGGAGCACAGCAGCAGGAGGGGCTGCGAAATGCACTACTCACTGCCAGCAGGGCAGGGCTGATGGCCACCCAGCACACCTTCCAGAACAGCCCTGGGGTGAAGCCCAGCATGGCTTTCACATCATGGGAGAACCGCTGGATCCCTGTGGAGCACAGAGCCATCATGGGGCAAGGCAGCTGCAGCCAGTGGGCTCAGGCCTCATCTGGTTGCTAGGTCCCATCCCATTGCTAGGTCCCATCTTGGTGCCCCTCTTACCATAGAACCAGGACACAGCTATGGTTTCCAGCAGCACCACGGCCAGGATGGAGCAGCCAGCACCAAACTCCTCCAGCAGCTTCACCACGTAGGCACCACCCTGGAGCGAGGTGGGTTGGTGGGATGGCACTGTGCTCACTAATGGGGCACAGCGTAGGCCAACATCTTCCCCAGGCTGTACTCACGTAGGTGAGGGTGCTCAGCGAGCCCAGGAAGCAGACTGTGATGAGGCCAAGGACAAAGAGCTCCCTGCGCTGGGCCAGGACCTGGGGGTATTCATCCATCACGGCGGTGATCACGGCCTCCAGACCCCCAAACTGCCAACGGAGTGCAGGGATGAGACAGAATCTTCTCCCTGCTGTTGTGCCAGTGCTGCTGCAGAGGTTCCTACCGTACTGTCCAGCCCCAGCGTTATCATCATCAGGAAGAAGATGATGGCGAAGAAGGTGGATCCCACCATGTTGGCGATGGCTTCGGGGTAGGTGATAAAAAGCAGGCTGGGACCTAGGAAGGGGTGCAAGTTGGTTTTGCCTTTCTTCTGGATGCTGGCAAGCAGTGGGACTGCATAGAGTGTAGCAACCCTGTCCCTTACTGCCATCCATGCACCCCTGGGTGCACAGGGACACCCCAGCTCCAGCAGGGGCACCATGAGGCCAGGCAAGATGGGGTTCTGAAGCAGGGGGGCAAACCTTTGTCTCTGGCTACATCCTCCACCTCCACATCCCGCATCTCAGCCATGTAGCCCAGCACAGTGAAGATGACAAAGCCTGAGAGGAAGCTGGTGAGGCAGTTCACTGCACTGGTGATGAGTGCATCCCTGGAAGACAGAAGGCAGGGAGATGTGGCAAGTGGCTGAGCCCTCCCTGCATGCCCACACCATCAGGGAAATGGGCAGAAGTGTTCAGCCCATGGCTGTGGGGCTCTGCTGCAGCTGCTTTAGCACAGCCCCACGCCTGCACCGCATCTTGCAGCAGGTGCTCACCGGTAGCAGTTGTTATGGAAGTGGTTGTAACTGGCCAGAGCGAGAAGAACACCGAATCCAGGACCCAAGGAGAAGAAAATCTGCGCAGCAGCATCAACCCAGACCTGGCAGAAGCAACAGGCAGCTGGAGGCTGGGTGAGTGCTCTGTGGTTTGCCCACCCCACAGCAGGCCCCCCTTGGCACAGGGATGCGCTGACCCTAACCCTGAATGCTGTGCCCAGGGGGAGAGGAAGCCAAAGGGAGCTTCAAGCCTCTATGCCTGGTCCAGGCAGCAGCGTAGCCCTGGTTATCTTTAATGAGAATTTTCAAGTGTTGCCTGGTAATTACCCACAGGAAGCCTATTGTTAAGCCAGGGCGAGAACACGGCTTGAACAAACCGTGGCAGCAATGAGATGGGTGATTCAATTATAGATTTACATTTCCAAGAGCCCATCCAGAGCATTTCATCTCTACAGAAGCAGTGCACAGGGGTGGGTGCACGTTGTGGGAGGGGTCTGTGTGCTGCTGGCCTCGGAGAGGGGAGCAGAGTAGGCAGAGATGGGACACCTGCACTCACCGCTGTGCTCAGCAGCTTGCCCCAGTCTGGGCGCAAGTAGAAGAGGACCCCCCTCCAGGCTCCAGGCAGGGTGGCCCCACGGACCAGCAGGATGAGCAGGACGAGGTAGGGCAGCGTGGCTGTCACCCACACCACCTACAGCAGGGGCAGCCATCAGCCACGGCACCGAGCACCCGACAACCTGGCTGCAGGGGTGGGGAGGAGGCGATGCCCCAAGTTTAGCCAGGCAGGAGCTCAGGGTTGCAGCAGCATTGGCACAGATTCCTCTTACCTTCCCAGAGGTTTTCACCCCTTTCCACAAGCTGAAGTAAACGATGGTGAAGATGAGGAAAAGGCAGAGGAGCAGCTGCCAGCGGATCCCCCCCACATTGTACAGACCGCCGGACTTCTGAAGCTCCAGGACCTTCCTCCTACGGCCAGACAGGGTTTCAGGGTCTCACCTCCCCGTGATGCCCATGGGCAGTGGTACGTCTGCTGCCAGGCTCCCTGTCCTGCTCCCTCCACTGCGAGACATACCTCAACTCCAGCTCATTGCCCACATGTGGACACTTACGTGTAAAACTCCTCAGCAGGGGACCTGGAGAAGTTGGTCCAGGTCACGTTGTTCCTCCCGAAGTAGTTGGTGCAGTTGGGTGTATTCCAGGGGTTGTCACAGCTCGCCCAGGGCAGGGTGCCCGAGAAGGATGAGTAGAAGTAATAGAGTGCCCAAGCAATGATGGTGTTGTAGTAGAAGGAGACGTAGAGGCCAATGATGCAGATGGCAAAACCGATGCCTGTGGAGAGAGGGGGACAGGTGGGAAAGCTGAGCTTCTCCCCATGCCCTGCATGGGGCTGGTGGTATTTCATAGGGCTGCTGGTCCTGTAATGGGCTGGTGGTGGTTCTGCATGAAGCGGGGCTGGGACTCGCTCACCTTTGAAGATGGGGCAGATGTGCTTCCAGATGGGAATGGCGCCCGTCCTGTGGAACTGCCCCAGGGCCAGCTCCATGTAGAAGAGGGGCACCCCTCCAAAAACAGCCATCAGCGTGTATGGGATGAGAAAGGCTCCTGTGGGGTGAGGAGCAGAGTGGGGTCTGCTGCAACCCTGTACCGGGTGATGAGCGTGCACAGGGATGTGTCATGAAGCATGGATGAGCATTTGGATGCACGCAGGCTTTGGGATGCCCTGCAGCAAGCAGCTCACAGGTGGGTGCATTGCTGGGAACGCTCAGCCGGGCTGATGCAATGAGCAGAACAAGGCAGACACAGGGGATGAAGCACTGTGAACCTCTTAGGTCTCAAATTTTAGGGAAAATCTCACTGATTGTCACCCCGAGATACAAGTAATTAACGCTGTCATCTACATTATTCATGCTCGCAGTGCTTTTAGCAGAGCTGTGTTGCACCCAGTGGACTTTTTAGAAGTGGAGCTGCTCTCTGTGCTGTCGGGATAGCTCAGCTGGGGGTAGTTAATTGAACCCCCACAGCTTCCTTCTACACTCCGGGGTACCACATCCCTGCTGCCCTGCCCTCATGGCACAGTGCTGCCTGCCCTGCAGGCTCATCCTGGCTGGGAGTCCATCCCTCCCTCCCTGGAGCTGCAGCCCAAGCCCAGCTCCCCACCCAGAGCCCTCAGCTCCCTCTGCATTGATGGAGAGCAGCTGAAGTTCACTGCCTGTCCCACAGGATTAAGGCACAAATAAACTGCTTCCATGGGGGCACCTGGGATCCACGCTGTAGCCTTGAGTGTGGTACTAATTATCTCCTGCTAATTTCCCCAAGCATGAGAAGATGTTACCCGAATGCCGACTTTGGCAATTAAATCCACTGTGCTGTTGCAAACGGCACAGAATTCTCATTCCTCATTTATAATTTCTATGCAAGAGTTGTTTATTATTATTATTATTATTATTCTGGTCTATTTAAAGCAATTTATTTAGCCATCATCTACTCAAGATATTTCCTTCATGGGGCTTTTCTACCTTCTGCTAGCTCTATGGGAGGGAGCACCCCATGCTGCACAGGGCTGTGCTCACACTGCATCCAGCACCACGGCTGCATGGAGCTGAGACCGAAGGTGTCTGCAGGGTTATTCAAAGCACTGCCTGCCAGAAGTTTGCTTGTACCCAGCGATAAGACCAGCGAGAGCCTCCCACCCCAAACATGCAGCTCCATCACTGTGGACCAGCGCAGGGTATGGAGAGGAGAGAGGTGAGGAAAAGTGGGGAGAAGTGGAGCTGCCCTCTCCAAAGAGGAGCAGCTGGAGACAAACAGAGAAAAGCAACAGCGAGTTCTCAGCATCCCAAAGCCCACAAACAGCTTTTTGCTCCCCCAGTACAGACTGCAGCAACCCCAGCACTGTCCTTACCCCCTCCGTTCTGGTAGCAGATGTAAGGGAAGCGCCACACGTTGCCCAGATCGACGGCAAACCCGACAACTGAGAGGAGGAAATCCATTTTCTTGCTCCACTTGTCCCGGGGGTGGGATGGGGGCACAGGCACGGCTCCGGGACCCCCATCGTGTTGAGGAGGGCCAGCAGACACCGGGCAGCGCTCCCCCATTCTGTGCCCCTGCGAGTTCTGCAGGGTTGGGTGAGCAACTTGGGGAGGGAAGGATGGATTTTTCTCCATCTGATGACAGATCTGAGGAGGGGAGGGTCCGGCTGCCTGTGTGTCCCCACCTCCAGCTGGGAACCCATGGATCCAATGGGGAGAGCCGTGCTTTGATCAGTGCAGGAGGAGTGAGGAGGCTCACAGCTCCATCCCCTGCTCCCTGCATCCATGAGAGCATTTTGCTGTCGGGGTGGAGTTTTTTTTACACAGATGTGGGGTTAAGGCAGAGGTGGTGGTTTGGTTCTGCACCCTTTCAGTGCAACATTATTTTTTTTGTCCTTGGTGCAACTTGCAGGCCGGAGGTACCTCCACCTGCTGCCACACTCAGCGATGCTTCGAGCTCTGGGAGGTGCTGGTTGTTGCACCACTGGAAAGTGGAATAACTTCTGCAGCCCACATGCTATCGGGAGGGAACGGCGCGGTACCGAGAGCCATCGCTCTCTTCCATTTGACAGTTTAACAGCAAACTTCATTGCAAACAAAACAAGCAGCTCCCTGCATTGTTGGAGAGTCATGATCCTTGAGGTCCCTTCCAACCCTGGCCATTCTGTGATTCTGTGATTCTGCATTGTGCCCTGCACAGCAAAGCCCTGCAGGAGGCTGTAGGCACTGTGCTCCAGGCACCTATCATCTGTAATTAAAAGAAACTACAAACGAGATCAAAACGGGACGTGGACGGCAGGTTGCTGTGACGACGTGACGCCAGCTGGAGACCTCTGGACATGAATGGTGCTGCAGCATGTGCACAGGGACCTGCTGGAAATGCCCCATTAAAGTACCATGTTTGCTGTTGCTGCACGGGGCTGAATTTCTCCCAGCTCTCAAGGCTGGGGCTCAGCGTGCAGGTGAGAGCCAATTAATGCCCCCATGGGTTTATAGGAAACCTGTGTCACTCAAAGCTGTGAATTCCAGCAGCACAACGTGGGTGTGGGTATTAAACCCATCAGCAACCAAAGCAAAGCAGTGCTCGGCTGCTGGGTGCTCTGTGTGTCCCTGGGGATGGCTGTGTCTGAGCAGAGTGCCAGAGCTGCATCCCACCGGGCAGTCCTCTGTGTGAGTGACAGCAGTGACAGCACTGGTGTCATAGCAACCAAACCAGCAGCTCTTTTTCTGCAGCTGACCCTTATTTTCTCCAGGGGGGTCTCGTTGCCACAGATCCTATTGGTGATGCCAATGCTCTGCTCCTGAGCTGCAATCGCAGGACTCACCCTGCTGCCGGCCCCACCTGCCCCCAGGCACCTGCTGTCAATTCCATGCAGAGCAGGCTCTGAGATCCCCACTGCTTTGAGAAGCTGTTCCCCAGAGCTCTCCTTATTCTGGTCCCAGTTCTCCACTCCTGCTGTCCATGTCTGCATGTGTTACCCCGTGCCATAGGATCACAGAACAGCTGGAGTCGGAAGGGACCCTCAAAGACCAGCTGGTCCTTTCTCATGCAGAGAACAGGGACACCCACAGCTCCATCCTGAAGGTCCATGGGCATTGTGATCTGACAGATGGCCACCAGCCCTCAGCAATGGGTTGGGACCGTTCGGAATTTAAAGCCCCCTCCATCCCAAACCATTCTATGATTGCACAACAGTTGCAGGGGCAGCTGCATCCAAATCGCTTTACATTCAGAACGCACTGTTGAAATGTAGCTGAAGTCAGATTTAAATCTGAATTTCCACCGAGTTAGATGAGTTTCTGAACGGCACACTGATCTGATTAGCGCGGTGCTTTCATCCAACCCGCTCCCCCGTGCCATGAAATGCAGAGAGGTGAATTGTGGTCTTAAAACCACCATTCTGTTTAAGCCGCAGAGGCAGCAGTGGGAAGTTTAATTTAATTAGCGTGATACGCAGAGATGTAACTTAATCACATTAAGGGTAGCTCGACGTGCTCCTGTTCAAGCTCTCCAGACTCCAGAAATCAGGGGCCAATCCCACCCATCCTTTACGAGGCACTGCTTTACGAGGCTGTGATGCCTTCATTGTGATTGTTTATTAGCCCTGTCTTAATTGCCTGTTCAGCACCGTAGGACATAAATAAAAGACGGGCAGAGCAGCACAGCTGTGTGCCACCTGCATGGGTAAGGCTGGGGTCCCTGGCCCCTCTGGTGCCATCTGCCTTTGTTAGGGCATTTAGCAACAGAATTAGTGGCAAAAAGCAAACGCTGCAGGAGGAAATAGCGTTCCTCTGCGACCCGCTATGGCACAGAGATTCTCCCTGTGCAAAAGGCAAATTGCAGGGATGAGTTCTGCATTACCCTCAGCCTGCAGCTCGCTCATTCTGCCCCGTGCTAATGCGGTTTGTGGTTAGTGGAAACCGGACTGCTAAGGAGTCAGGATGCTGTTTCTATGGAAATGTCCTGGAACATCAAATAAGGGAACAGAAAAACAGACAATATGTTAATAAGAACTGCGAGCCAGGGCTGAACTGTTTGCGATCTTGATATCAGGCATCTCCGGGTCTCCCGCGAATAGGGCTTTGCTGCTCGTTATCTCCTCGGTGCAGAATGCCAACGGGAGCGCGGTGGGCGGGCACGGCTGTGCGGGGCTGTGCGGGGCTGTGCGGGTTGAGGGCTTTGCCACATGGCCCAGAACACGAGGCACGGCCCCGTCCCCGTGTCATCCAGCCCTGTGGGTCGCTGCCCTGGCGCACACCGGGCCTGGGGCGGCCTGGTGGAAGGGGTCCCCAAATGCGGGAGATGATGAGGATGCTGGTGGGGAGCCGCGGGAACGGGGACACGCTGCTAAGGGGACAAACAGCACCGCCGTCCCCACGGAAGGGATGAGCCCTGCGGAAGGCACGGCACCGCCGGCTGTCGTCGCATCTCACGGAGCCCCGCTCCACGCTGCCGCCCCACCGACGGCCGTCCCCGGGCGGTGCGCTCGGATTGGCGGCGCTCCCGGCCTCGGCTCCACCCCGGCGGGCGCGGTGGGCGGTGCGGACCCGATCGGCCCGGCCCGGCCCTCCGCCACTCTGCGGGCGCTGCGGAGCGCGGCTATGGCGGCGGCCCCGGCGGGTAGGGAAGGGCTGGGATGGGATTGGGGGCGGCGGCGGGTCGGGGGGCTGCGGGGCCGGGCCGTGCTAACGGTGCTCTCCCCTTCTCCCCACAGAAGCGGAGACCCGGCAGCGGTTGCTGCGCACCGTCAAGAAGGAGGTGGGTGCGGGGATGCCGTCCCGCTGCCGTGCCCCGGCCGGTCGTTCCCCTCGTGGGTGCGGGCACAGCGCCGGGCGGTGCCGCCCTCGGGCAACGGGAACTCAGCGGTCCGGCCGTGCGCCGTGCCGGGCGGTGGGGTTGGGGGGCGGCCGTTCCCCGCGTGGGACCCGTTGCGGAGACCCGGTGTGCCACGGAGAACCGAGAGCATCCCTGGCCGCGGGCTGAGCCTGCAGGCCGGCTGTGCCGGGCGCTGGGTGCGTGCGGTGTTCTGTTCGTGAGCATCTCCGGTGGGCTCGGGGAAGCGGTGCCCCTCTTGGGAGCGAGCAGAGACGCTGACAGCGCTGCGTTTGTTCATCCAGACCCCTACCCCACCTTTAATCCCGCGCCGGGCGTGGTGGCGAGCAATACTACTCGTTGCCTTGACGACAGCTATTAAACCAGCGAAAGGCTGTGACATTTCTTTAGCATCGTGGATGAAGCCGACATCTCGTTATTGCCGTCTGCCTGCGGCTCCTCCCGAGGCTGCAGGTGGGGATGGGGCTGCTGCGTGCACGGCTGGAGAAGGAGGACAGAGCTTCTTTCTGCAGCCTGCTGGGCCTCAGAGGGCACTACTGCTCTCCAGGAGCATCTTCTATGCTGGCAGCTTCTCTCTGTACTCTCTTTCTCTCTCTCCATGGTCCCTATGTTTGAGGAAAGTGCCTAAAGGAGGAGTGCTGAGGGCTGTGATGTGCCTTTCTGGTAGCAGAGCTGTCTGCTGGCTCTTAACGGATCAGCTGTGCTGCACGGGGGGTTGGTGAATGCAGGTGGAGGTGAAGGAGTGAGGTAGGGCATGGGAAGAGCCTTTCTGCCCTGCTGTGTGACATAACTACATCAGCGGGTGCCTCATAGCAGCCCTATAGGGAGGGCAGTGCTGATGCAGAACAGAGGTTTTCATAAAATCATAGAATGGCTTAAGTTGGAGGGGACCTTAAAGGTCAAGCAGTTCCAACCCCATTGCCATAGGCTGGGTGCTGCTCACCAACTCAGGCTGCCTTTAATACTCCAGGGATGGGGTGCTGACAGCCTTTCTCCCCAGACAGTCTCACTGCTCTGGGCTCAGTTGCTGCTTTGCCACACAGGCAGCTGTGCTTGCCCCAGGGTTTCTCCCAGCACTGTGCTGCTGCCCTTGGCCCCGCAGGCAGGGCTGTTTGCATGCAGACACACAGGTGCAGGGGTTCCATGTCAGACCCATGCTTTGCATTCTTTGCTCTGTTAGGATTTAAAGAAAAACAAAACAGGAAATGTGGTCCTATAGGTTATGTATGGAATTATTTAGCAACATCCCTGAAACTTGGAGCGCTGGGACGTTCTGTTGCCCATTCTCTGCCCACTAAGCCCATTTTGCACGCGCTTTTGCTGTTTTATTTTAATTTTCTTTCCCTTTTTTAGACTGACTTCAGGCTGAGTTGGGAGCCTGTGCAGCCTTGGGAGGAGTGCTAGGAAGTGCCAGCTGCAGAAATCCTCATTTTCTTTTCCCACCCCTTGCATTCTCACCCTTCATAGAACTCCACATTCCCATCCCATCACACCAAGCCTGCTTTGCATGCCCTCAGCTGTGGCGTTTTGAAATCTGATGGTGTTCCCACGTGTCAGTGAGCTCCACTGGGACTGGGAACAGCCAGAGAGCACACTGGGGAAGCCACACCACATCTGTAGCCCTGGGGCAATAGTGGAAGGAATAATAACATCATGCAGGCAGTGCCTGATGAGAGGAGATAAGTAAACAATGGATGGAACTGTCCATAGCGTTACAGCGAGCAAATGGAGTCCAGCATTTGGTTGTTGCCATGGTTAATGTATTTTTATTTTGAAGAAGTCCTGCTCTGCAGTAGGTTTGTGGATTGGAATGAGTTGGGCCGTCACTGTCAGTTTTGTGTGTGTGTGCCCATATGGTTATAATAAATCAAACTGATCTTGAAAGCTGCAAAATTGACTGTCTGTCAGCAGGCTGTAGGAGAGAAGTGGCAGGATGGTTTTCAGAGGAATTCTGTTTCCTGTTATGCAGGAAAAGTAACATAAATCTTCTCTGGTTTTCTCTTAGAGCCTTTATCAGATGGACTCCAACCCCAAAATATCCCAGATTGAATTTTTGACTCAAAATGTGCTTATTGCAACTGGAAGGGATGCATGTGATCATTGAGACCAGCTCCAGTTGTCAATTGACCTTCAGCCTGCTTGCCAGCTCTTGTCCCATAGCCTTCCATCTACATGGGATGTACGTGTTCCTTCATAGCTGGGATGGGTGCTGCTGTAGCTGCTCTCTCGTTCTGCTGCAGACAAAACCACATCAGGCAGTGCCTCCTTCCACCCTCAGGTCAGCTCCTGCTGTGCAGCAGTGCTGTCTGCTTTATGGCTGAGCACAGCAGCCCCTGAGAGCGGTGCTCCTGCAGGGTGGGTTGGTTCCTCCTTTGGGATGTGCACGCGTGGCTGTGCTCCCAAACAGCCATGGGGTCAATGCCAGCTCCTTCATTCAGCTGCACAACAGAAAGTTGTGAATTAATTCCAGGTTATTAAGATTTGAAGAATGGATGGCAGTCGCTGTCAGTGTCCTCAAGGCCAAACTGAAGAAGGGAGGCTTTGTGTGGCTAAGGCAGAAGGATGATGTAGATGATAAGCTGTGGGTCTGTAATAAAAGAGGGGCTCTCCAGCAGCACGGTCAGCCTGTTTGAAACATCCCTGTATCAGAAGTAAACAGGAGGCTTTAATGCCTCATTTCTCAATTGCCTGCACTGATCTCTTCTAAAAAAAGTATTACTGACTGCTGGGGACCATTTTCTCTCCTTTTGAAGATAAAGGCACTGGTGTCTCATCCTCCAGCTGCCCTGGTTGGATTTCCTGCCCGGCACAAGGCAGCTCTGCTCCTCGATTCCTTGTCTTCCCCAGTGCTCAGGGAGATGAGGTCGGTGCTCCTTCCCCTTCTCATGCCACCATACACCTTGAGCACGTGGCGATGCCCCATAGCAGCTCAGGGCATGCATGCTTTGTGCAGAGCCGAGCACCAGGGCCAGCCTTCAGGATCAGGCACTGAGAACAGAGGCACAGCCGAAGTTCCTCCCGAAGCGTTGCGGTGTTGGCTGAGCGTGTGACAGCAGTGCCAACAGATGGCATGGAGCTTTGCGTTTGACAAACACCACAGGAATAGCTCCAGCTATAGCGTGAGCTTATGAGATCTTAAATTAGCGTGGCGTGTGTGGATTTGTGACTTAAACTTCATGCTTCCCAAGAAAAGCCTGCTGCAAAACGCTGTCTGCAAATACAAACCGCTGGGAACGCTCCCGTGCTTTAATTTTGTGTCTGTTTCAGTCGGTGATCCCTTAGCAGTGTGTAATACCTGAGAAGTGGCCGTGCTGCAGGGACAAACCCTGCATCAGGTATGGGGAACTGCTGCAGAGCTTAAGCAGAGCTTATTCTTGGAACGGGACCTTGATTCAGTGAAGCAGTTAAAGGAATGGTGAGGTTACGCCGAGGGGTCCCCGCGTTGCATCAAAGCTGATGGGGGGAGATGGGCTTTTTCAGTGCTAGAATTAACTTCATCGGAGTGCTAGAATTAACTTCATCAGAGTGCTAGAATTAACGTCATCAGAGCAGCAATGAGAACGAGAAGGTGGCAGCTCGTGAGAAATTGGCAAAGCAAACATGCAAAAAGCAAACAGAGTTTAGATGTGTGCTCACTGCTGGGAGCAGCATTCTGCTCCCATGGAGCATCCACAGCGTTCCTCTGGGTTTTACCCACAGCTGCCCCATACACCCCTGTGTGGCAGAGGGGATTGTTTTGTTTGAATGCACTGTGCTCTGAGGCTCTCACTCCCAGGGTTTGTTCCTCATACTTTAGCCCTTTCCATTGGCCAGGTGTCCTTGTTGCAGTGCCCTTCCCACTTCTCTTCCTTTAAATACCTCTGATTTATGTGGCTCAGTGCAGTAACCTCAGTCAATACAGCGTTGTGGGTTCTTCATCTTTTTTTTTCCCTGCGGTGGGTAATTTTCCACTGTGCTGCATCTCCTGGCAGGGCTTGTTTGTGGGTTGCTGCACTGAGCTGGGTGCCCATCCAGGCTGAGGACCCGTTGTGCCCCTGCCCTGCAAGCACTGTGATGGGGTGAGCGGTGCAGCCCAGCAGTGGGATGCCAGCTGCCAAATATTTGGATATGCAGCTTCAATCTGAGCCTGGCGGCTTGTTTTAAGTTTGTGATTTGGTTATGTACTGTGTGCGTTGATTCCCAAGTGTTTCTCCCAGGTTGTGCTTTTTTTGGGATTTAAAATACGGACCCTTCATTTATGCATTTGGGTGATTCACTGAGAGATGGTTCCCCTGATGGTTCCCCATTACAGTACTGCAGAAGAGATTTCAGATCTGGAACACTTCCCTGCTCTATGTGGGGGCTTTGGGATGTCTCTGGCCTGGCCATGCCACCCAGCAGATGCTGTGACCAAGAGGGTCAGTTGCAGCTTTTGGTCACAGTGAAACTTTTTTCTTTAGCCATTTTCATAAAAGAGCTTCCTCTATTGGCCTGCCAGCTGTGTGCAACTGGCCTTGATTTTATCCTCCTGAGGAGCTTTAATTCCCCCAATGAGGCCATTAGAGGTTTTGCAGATGCAAGGTTTGCTTGGCCAGCTCTCGACCTGCCCTTTTTCTTTTGCCTTTAGAGAGAGCATCTCTGTACTCCGAGCTGCTCACATGCCCACACCTCTGCCCTGTGAGCCCTTTATCCTACATTTTCTGAAACCAAGGAGTGCAAAGCAGAGTGCCTGGGAGCAGACCTTCAAGATCACCCAGTTCCAACCCCCTGCCATGGGCTGGGTGCCCCCCACCAGACCAGGCGGCTTAGGGCTCCATCCATGGCCTTGGGCACCTTTAGGGATGGGGGCACCCACATGGTTTACCATTTATTTTCTTCCCATCATTGTGTTCCTGATATACAACATATATGACGGCTTCCTTCTGATTAAGTCAGCTGAAATAAGTGCCTGGGATGTGTCGTGAGCAACGCCTGGAGGGCAGCATGATTGCATTGCCATGCAGAGGAGTTCCTGGTCACAGCTGGTGCTGGCTGATAGCCAGCCCTGGCACTGCTGGGGTCCCTGTGTCCCACACAGGCCATCTTGTGCCCACTCCACCCCAGGTCCTGCTCTGATCTGGGGATGAAGCTCCACAACCCCTCTAACCGTCCATTTGCTCAACAGGTGAAGCAGATCATGGAGGAGGCGGTGACGAGGAAGTTTGTGCATGAGGATAGCAGCCACATCATCTCCTTCTGTGGTGAGTGCCTGGGGGAGCAGGGGGAGGCACTACAGCCAAAACGAGGTTGTTCCTGCTGTTCTGAGCCTTCTGTGCAGCTCTGGATGCACACCGTATGCCCAGCTGCCCTTTGGAGGTGGTCAGTGCTGGATGGGGTGGGTGAATGTCATAGCTATGCAGAACCCAATTAGCGTCAGCCTGTTGATAACGAGGGAATGCTGCATGCTGTCAGATGGATGAGTTTGTTGTGGTGTGGGGAGCCCTGAGTCTGGAGCTTGCTCCTCAGTGCTGCTTGGATGAGGACATTGCTCAGCTTTGTGGTACGGGTGGGATGGAGCCAGGTGAGGGGCTGTGGGCAGGCAGACAGCATTCGTCAGACATGTGCTGTGTGTGTGCCCAGCCCTGTCCTTGTCAAGTGTTTACCCACTCACCCAGAGCTGGAGTGTGCTTTGGCAAGGTGCCTGCTGCCTCCACCTGCTCCGCCTGCTGCCAGCGGCTGCTGCGATGGGGAGAAAGCAGTGACCTCTATGGAAGAAGAGCAAGACCCCTGCTGCCTTCCCACCTGGCAGTTGGCTTGCACAACGGTGCTTTTATAGAATCAGAACTGCTTGAGCTGGGAGGGACCTTTAGAGGCCATCTGTTCCCACCGCCTGCAGTGCACAGGGACACCCACAGCTCCAGCAGTGCTCACAGCCCCGTCCCCTGAGCGTGGCTGTGTGCAGGGATGGGGCAGCACCACCTCTCTGGGCACCCTGTGCAGTGCCTCACTGCCCACACTGTAAGCAGTTTCATTTCTTATATTCCTTCTAAATCTCCCCAGGTGTTTTCTAGATGCTTTTAATCTCTTTATAGTCCCTTCTCTCAGCAGCGTTAGGTGTAATGCAGCAGCAGTTGGCGTTGCAATGGATGGTTCTGTTAAAGCTGCTGCCCTGCTTGAATGGAGCTTAAAAGCTCCTGTTCCCTTCTGGGAGACCAACTTTTTACAGGGTCTGATATTGCCAGGACAAGGGTGATAGTGTGAAACTAAAAGAGAGGAGATGTTGGTTGGCATTATGATGACATTCTTTACTCAGAGGGCAGTGAGGCCCTGGCACAAGCTGCACAAAGTGCTGTGGGTGCCCCATCCCTGGGGATGCCCGAGGCCATGGGTGGGCTCTAGGCAGCCTGATCTGGGGGAAGGCAGCCAGCACACAGCAGGGGTGGAGCTGGGAGGCTTTAAGGTCCTTTCCAACCCAGGTGATTCTATGGGAGAGCTGCTGCCAAGAGTTGGTGCAGAACTCAGCAGTGTCCTCAGCCTTGCAAGTTTCTTTAAAGCAAAAAGTGTGAAGCCCAGGCTTCCCAAGAGCAAGCAACCCCCCTTAGCTGCATCTCAGCCTTGGGGCTTTCCCAGGTAAGGGGCCATCCTGTGCCCACTGAGCATCCTGTGACTGTCACTGCTCTGCAGGGACGCTCACTGAGCCACACTCAGCTGTGCTTTGGCACAGCCCATGCTGGGGCCGTGTGGCTGCTGCTGAGCAAAACGCTGCTGGCAGCGTGCAGAGGGGGAGCAGCCCTCCTCCATGCACAAACTGCTGAAGGGCAGCTTGCTAATTTGGAGCCCGGGAAGTAAATGACAGAAGTGATGACAGCTTTGGAAGGAGTTGCTCCGGTAACTCGTTTAGCACCATCGCCACTGAGTGAGACCAGAGCATCTGTGGGCATGCACACAAAGCAGAAAGGGAAGCTGGGGGGGTCTTCTCTTCTATTTTGGAGAGCAGAGGCTGCCTTCTTCCTTTTGTCCCAGGCCCTTGGATGGAATACAGCAGGTGATAGGCGGTGGGATCTGTGTGCCTTTGTGCTCTGTCGACTGAAAGGCATCGAAAGAGCAGAACAGGCTTCAAGGTGTGACTCATTCTCTGTGTTCTGTGCAGCACGAGGCTCCGCAGCCTGCAATTATTTATAGCTGCCTGCAGCACGGAGCTGAGGCACCCAGGCACCAGGACTTGTTGGTTCCTTCTGGTTCTTATTGATGCCACCGTGCTGCCACTGGGTGGTGGAAGGACCAGGAGCCAGGCTGTGCTGCTCTCTAAATTGGATGCTTTGCTGCTGCTCTCAGTGAGCCGAGGGAGCTTATTTATAACCTCCTCTGCTGACAAGCAGAGCGTGCTCGAGCCTGGCTCTGGCTGAGCAGAGCTGCCCTTTCCTCTGGGGAGAGCTGCCTTCCTCGCAGGGCCCTCCTCATCTTCCCAGCCCTCTGCAGAGCCAACGTACCGCAAAGCCCTTGTGATGAGAGCAGTGGGCAGGCAGCAAAGGGCAGCTGCCCTCACTGGAAGCAGACAAACGCGAGCTGGCACCTGTCATGTTCATGCTGCCCTGGGAGCTGATGGGGGCCGGCGGCAGGGCTGGGGGCTGCCCGTGCCATGGGGCGCATTATGTGCATCAGTGCTGAGCTCACCTCTGTGCTCAGCCACCGAGCGGGTTGGAAGTGTGCTCAGGAGCTCTGACAGCTCTGCAGTCTTTGGGTGCAGCCGGAGCGTCCGTGCCATTCTCTGCTGTAGGTTATGGCCTTAGGGGTGGGCAGAGCGAATGTTTGCAGTGGGGGCAGAAGGGAATTATGAACTGGGCTCCAAAAATCACGAAGTTAGAAAAGAAAACGCCGTTACTCTTGGGTTTAACGTGGGCAAGTTGCACTTAGTTTGTGAGCTCAAGCTCCTGAGCCCTGGGGAGAGCACAGGGAGAGTTTCCCCTATGTAGTCTGCACTCTCAGCAGGAGCAGTGTTTGCAGAGGATCTGGTTACGGCACTGAGGATGGATGCTGAGTGCTCTGTGCTGCTGTAGTACTCCAGATGCTCTGTGTGCTGCTCCCTAGCTGACAGCAGTGTGTGCTGCACTGGCTGTGATGTGAGCAAAGCACAATTGCTCTAACTTGCTTGCTGGAAACTCAGAGCAGAACTGACTGTGCCAAGCAAAGGCAGCCCAGAGGTTAGGCTCAATGTTCACAAGGCTTTTCTGCTTGTGGTTCTGCTTCCAGCTGGCTCCCAACCCACTTGGCAGAGCTGGGTGCCCACTGCTCCACCCTGCACAAGGCTGGGACCTGCCTGAACTTTGGGGAGATGCCCCCTGGGCATTGCACAGTGCCTGGGTGTGGGCTCAGGCAGGGAGGGCTGTTTGTGTCTGCCACTTACGTTTCAGCCACGTAGTGCAGAATAAATGATGGATGTGGGATGGAATGATTTGGGTGCTTGTCAGGAGGGAGGAGTTGCCTTGCCATTTGTGGTTGGCTCTGCAGACAGTGCTCTGGGACAGGTGGGAAGATCTATCCATGCTGTTTGCAGTGTGTCTGGGCTTCAGGAGGATCGGTGCAGAGCTTTATTTAAACACAGAGCACCCTTGCAACTGCTCCCAGAGGCTGCTTTGGGTGAGCAGGGCTTGGCTTTCCAAGCAAGAGGTGCATCAGCTGTGGGGAGGTTAAACATGTTGGCTCTGCAGCATGAAGCAGGGTGCTGACATGTCAGGGGGCTGCTTGGCAGAGCCACATCCATCACCCATGGGGCCAAGAGATTTCTGCAGTGCTTTGATCTGATGGAATAAGCCTGTGTTTGACACCAGACATCCATCCTGAGCCCTCCCAGGGGGTTCTGGCAGGCACACTGCCAACGCTGTTGTGTCCGTATGCATCCTTCTGTGCAGCTGCTGCCAGGTTCCTGGGCAGCAGAGCTGGGTGCCCCAACCTCCCTGCTTGCAAGGGAGAGCTGAGCTGCCTTCAGCAAAGCCCTGCAAAGTGCCCAGGAGGTGATGCATGGGGGCTTACAGAGACCCTGGATCCACTGCAGCAGGCACTTGCATCTTGGCGTACCTGCAGTTTGTGTTTACTTGTGTCAAACTGCTCCTTTTGCCCAAATTAGCTGAACCAACCTCTTTTTTTTTCTTTTTATTTTTTGCAAAACTAAAATAATCTCTCTGTACAGTCAGCAGAACTGATAGGCAGAAAGATAGACCATATGAACTGTGTGCTGCTTTGGGTAAATAACATCTGGGTACCTTAACCTCCTGTCTGCTGAGACAGGAACAGAATATGACATTGGTTTCATCTTGGGAAATGTCTCTGCTGTGCAGTGAGGTTACGGATGCAGGGTGGGATCAGGCAGTGGTGATGTGGGAGCAGCGCAGCTGTGAGCTCTGCTGCTTCACTAATGAGTTTGCTCTGTTGCAGCTGCTGTGGAAGCATGTGTCCTGTATGGGCTGAAGCGCAGGGCAGCAGGATTCCTGCGCAGCAACAAAATAGCAGCTCTGTTCATGAAGGTGGGCAAGAGCTTTCCTCCTGCAGAGGAGCTTTGCAAGAAGGTGCAAGACCTGGAGCAGCTCATCGAGAATGCGTAAGGCAACAGCATGGCTGCTATCCCACAGGCTGCCTGCATGTGGGCGTGGGGGTGCTTAGTTTGAGCACAGCTGAGGATTGCAGTGTCCACCTTGAGTCTCCATAGGAGAACTTGCTCTTGCAGTGAAGCAGAGTCCTTCCCTGGGCTTTTAATACCTTGAGTGAACTGGTTGGTTCTCTGGGAGCTGGTGAGTTGTGGTTCTTCCTTTCTCTGCCCTTTGTGTCATGCTGTAGGGACAGTTACACACATCAGCTCCTGAACTGTCAGGGTTTATGGACCAGTGCATTAAGCCAACTGGAACCAAATCTGGTTTGCTTTACTGTACAGGGCCATAACCTGCAGTAATTCAACCTCTGTTTAAGTGTGGCTTACTCATCCTTGGACAGGACCAGGGAGATGGATGGAGCAGCCACCTGGGGGCAGGAATCTTTCAGCTGTCCTGAGATAAGCTGCTTTGCTTATGAACTGCTGTCCTTGGGCACCAGTGGGAAGCAGTGGGACTCTGCTGGGGCAAAGACTTGTTCTAGGGAACCTAACAGATTTAGGGAAGGCAGTTTTCAGATACAGCCGTAGGCCTTCTGGCGTAGGGGATGGGACAGATGACAGGAGCAGTTGTTGCCTTCTGCCTCCACAGACGAAATCAAGTCCAGAGCATCCCAGAGAATGTGCGCAAGATGCCAAAGCTGCCCAACCTGTCTCCTCAGGCCATCAAACACCTCTGGATCCGCACAGCCCTCTTTGACAAAGTCTTGGATAAAATTGTGCATTACTTGGTAGAGAACAGCAGGTGAGTGCTGGCACCAGCCAATGTTTTACCCTTCCAGCTTGTTCCAGTCATGCTGGAGGTGCTGCTGGTTGAGATGCGTTCAGATGGGCTGGAGAAGTCACTCTGTGCCAGTTGTGTCATTCTGTTCCCAGCATGGGGACTCCAGCTGCTGCTGCTGCTGGCCAGCCCCCTGTGCTCCCTAAAAAGGACAGGCCATGCTTGCTCTGCTGATGGAATGGTTGTAGTGGACCACGTTGTCCTTGTCTTCTGGGAGCTGTGTGCTGAGGTCTCCTGTCCTGGTGAAGTGGACAGCCCCAGGAAGCTTTTGTTAGTATATAGCGATGCTTGCAATGTGCTGCAGGAGGGCATCCATCCCCCAGGAATTTCTTAGCTAGCAGGAACAGCCTGTAACAGGCTCCCTGTCCTCCCACCATCAGGGAGGGAGACAGACAGAGGGAAGGGCATTACAATGCTTTCAGATCTCAGTCTCTGTCATTCAGCTCTTCCAGCGGGCTGCAATGCTACAGCATGCTGCTCTTTTTCATTTCTTCTAGTAAATACTATGAGAAAGAAGCTCTCCTGATGGATCCTGTGGATGGACCGATTCTTGCATCTCTGTTGGGTAACACTTCCCTCTCATCCTATTCAGTAGCTTACTTCCCAAGCCTGAGTTGTTGGTTCTGTGATCCCAATTCAATGAATTTTTTTGTAAGAGCTTCAAAAAACTCTGGATGGGCAGAACCACTTCTGAGTTCTTTGCTGCTCCTACGTGGTGCAGCAATGTGTGCTGAGCCCCGTGCTTACCCTGCTCAGGGATGCTGGGCTCCGGTGACCTGAGCAGTGGAATAACACTGATGACTTCCTCGTGTCTGTGTTTTTCTTTGTGCAGTGGGGCCCTGCGCTCTGGAATACACCAAGATGAAGACAGCTGACCATTTCTGGACAGACCCTTCTGCTGATGAGTTGGTGCAGAGGCACCGCATCCACAGCTCACACTGCCGCCAGGACTCACCCACCAAGCGCCCAGCGCTCTGTGTGAGTGGGTGTGGGGCAGCTCCCTCTCTGATAATACAGGGTGGAAACGTGGAGATAATTCACATCTTCAAGCCAGGAGTTCTGTCAGTATGGGCTGTGGAGGTTGTGGGTGTGCTGGGCCAACGTGGCATTGCATCGTTGGGTCTCTTTGGGAGCAGCGTGGATGAACGATAAGAGAAGGCAGCTGAAGTCTGCTTGGTTTATTGCATGCAGAGCACACTCCTGGGGCTTCTGTGAGTAGAGTCGAGCTTGGCCAGAGCCAGGAATCCTCTTGGAGGATGCGCAGGGAGAGAGATCTATCAGGGAGTTTCTTGAGTGAGGAGGGAATGAGCTTTCAAGAAGAGCTGTTAGAAAGGAGGAGGTGTCCACACTCGCCTCCCGTCTGTTGGTGGATCTCTTCCAGATTCAGAAGAGGCATTCGAGTGGCAGTATGGATGACCGGCCGTCGCTGTCTGCCAGGGACTACGTGGAGTCACTGCACCAGAACTCCCGAGCCACGCTCCTCTATGGCAAAAACAACGTCCTGGTGCAGCCAGTGAGTGCTGAGTGGGGCAAACGCTGCTCTCCTGCCCCACCACGTGGCTCTGCCCCACGTTGCTCTGTGATGGGGAAGGGGACGGACTCATTTCTTGTCTGGGAAGACAGTGATTGAACTGTCTTAGTTGAGGTCCCTGGTGATACGGATCCTTCCAACTGAATGGAAGAGTTCTGGGTAGAAGTAGGCTTCTTTCCCTGCCCTCTATTGATGGGAGGCTGCAAAAAACGCTCTTCCTGTCCCTTTTTGCTTACTGTATTCCAAGAAATGAAGTTAAAACTACTTAGGCAAGGCCGTCAGGTTTGTCCCAGCTGGGTTCTCAGCCCTTTTCCAAGCCTGAGGTGTCCTGCTGTCTGCTAGGTTTTGTAGGCCCCACAAGGTTCCTTGCTGTTGGTGGGCAGGCTGTGCTCCAGGTGTGGGTCAGCCCTGGGAGGCACTTGGTGGTGGTGCTTCTGCTGCCATCCAGGCTGCTCTCAGCTCTCTCTCTCTTTCTGCATTTCCCTTCTCAAGCGAGACGACATGGAGGCCATCCCAGGCTATCTGTCCCTTCACCAGACTGCTGACATCATGGCACTGAAGTGGACTCCCAACCAGCTGATGAACGGCTCCGTGGGGGATTTGGACTATGAAAAGAGGTGACTTGACTTCTCAGCGTGCTCACAAGGGGCAGAAGGGCCAAAGGTTCCCATGGGTTTTGTGGTGGTGAGAGATGCTGTGGATGTAGCCCATCTCTGCTGGAACTGGGAAAGTGAGAAGCTCCTAAATAAGGAAGGGCATCTGTAGACATGATCAGTTCCTGGATAATGATACCTCGGTAACAGAGTGGGTTCCATTTTGTAGTGCTGTCTCAGCTGATGCCCTGTGCAGGTGTTCCAGATCCCTGTGATTTAACAGAGCCCTTGGGGTTCATTCCTCCAGCTGAGGACTGCTCAGGAGTCGTTAGCTGAGCAGCGCATTCCATGCCCTTTGCCTGAGGTTGCATTATGGGCTGCTGGCATTTCTCCTGATAGCTGCAGCCTTTTAACTTAACTGCTGAGTCATGGCAGGTCCCAGTTTGCCTGTAAGGAAAAAAAAAAAACACAACAAAACAAAGCAAATCCTCCAGGAAAGCTGCAGCATTTAGAACATCCTTCCTTTGGCCTGGGGTAAAGATCTTCAACAAAACTTGCTGACAGTTTTGTTTATTCTCAGTTTTAGCATTCTGGGTTTTGTTTACCTCTGTTCTTTTCATCTCCTCTTTCTTCTTGGCACCTGGGCCATTTCCTTATTCCTGGTACCTTCCCCCTAAAATGCTGTTTTTAACTCTACACTACTTTTCTGAGTTTTTGACTTGGGCATCAGCCTAAGCTCTAAAACTTCCCCGTGTCCAGACGTGGCCAAGGAGGAGAGGAGTTGGATGGCAAGGTAAGTATGAACCTACAAGAGGTGACTCTTGCCTTCCGTGTGTTTTATGAGCCGTATTATAACACCTTCATTTGAAGCACTATTTTGGTAAAGTGACAGATGAACCCAATCCGTTTTCAGCTTTGAAATGGCACAGGTTGCTGGGGTTTATTTCCACTCCTTGGGTACAGGAGCTGGGCAGAGCTGTGGCCCAGGCTTGAGCTGCACTGTTCTGGGCTGGACTTGCTCTCACTGAGCAGCAGGAGCAGTAACTGGTTCTGGAAGGAAGCTGCTGTGGCCTGGTGGCACTCACACTGCTGCTGGGACTCATCTTTTCTGTAGCTTCCCCCAGTGTCAGGATAGCTGGAGGTAGGATTTGGAGCTGCAGTGAAGAGAAGCAGAGCCTGATGCATGCCTGAACTGAAGCTTGCTCTCTTTCTCTGTTCCAGTGTGTACTGGGACTATGCCATGACTATTCGCCTGGAGGAGATAGTCTATTTGCACTGCCACCAGCAAGGTAAGGCCAGAGCAGGGGCTGCTGGGGCTGTTATCACCTTGGCATCAGCACATGGGGGTGTGCCTGTATGGGGATGGAATGTTTTGATTCAGCTCTAGGGCAGATGTCAGGAGCTCTGGGTGGTCACTGCTCTGTAACTGCTTCTAGGAAATGCTTTAAAGCAGCTCCTGGCTGTGGTGCTTGGCTGGAGAGGACTCCCTATAGAGCAGTGCTCTTTGGTTTCGAGGGTTTGATCTCCCAGGCAGCCTTTCTCCAGGGCTTGCAATGGACTTAGGAAAGAATCCAAATGAGGATGAAAGATCTTTGTTCTGCATGCCAGAAAGACAATTCCCTGAGCTTTTCCGCCTGCCTTTTGCATTTTTGGTTTCCCTCGTTCATGTGTGTCTTCTCTCTGCTGTCCCTGTTGCTAATAGTAGACAGCGGTGGAACGGTTGTCTTGGTGAGCCAGGATGGGATCCAGAGGCCTCCGCTGCGGTTCCCCAGAGGAGGGCATTTGCTGCAGTTCCTGTCCTGCCTGGAGAATGGCCTCCTGCCCCACGGGCAGCTGGACCCACCCCTCTGGTCCCAGCGGGGAAAGGTAGGAGCATGGAGCTGGGCTTCTTCCTGAAGCCATGCATGGGGGTTTCCTGCTGGCATGCCCTGTGGGATGTGTCTCAGAGCAGCTCTGCTGCCTGGTGTGACTGGAGGCTGCATTTCAAACAGCACCCCCTGCACCCTCCTCAGTCAAACCAGAAAAAGTGGGATGTGATGGTTTGGTTCTCGTGGACCTTGCCATGCAGTACACGTAGTGTGTGCATAGAAGGGATGCACAGATATGTGTTCTCTGCATAATCCAAAGCTTGATCCAAAGACTGCTCCAACACACATGCAGACATCACCCAGGCTGACAAAATGCTCTGGCTGGGCAGGAGGTTGGCAGTGAGGCAGCATCTCACTGCCCTGCATGGTGAGGCTTTGTGAAGAGCAGGTTTTGTTCTGTAGGGGAAGGTGTTTCCCAGGCTGAGGAAGCGAAGTCCCCAGGGCTCCTCCGAGTCTGCGTCTGACAAGGAAGATGACGAAGCCACAGATTATGTTTTCAGAATAATCTACCCGGGGACACAGTCTGAATTCGGTGAGTGCGTTGGCAGGGAACATTTTGGGTGGGTTATTAGCTGGTGTATGAGTGAGCAGGGGCACGGCGCTGGTGGGCACACAGTGCAAATCACACCAGGGAGCAGTTCCAGAGGAACAGGCTTTGCTTGTAGTATTTAATTAATTGTCATGTGTTTTTATACCTTCCACTTGCCATGGAAAGCGTAGTTTCTGCCGTCCTGCACGTTATTTCAACAGCAGGCTTCCCTTTGGTCATGTTTTCTTCCTCCTTCCAGGAAATGGGTGTCTGAATGGGGTCATTTTTCATCATGACACGACCACCGGGCTGATTCTCCTTTTGCACCAGACCAACTCACCAAGTGCTGTGTTACATCCAGCTGTATTCCTTCCAGCACACAGGGCAGAGGCAGCAGATCTCTATGTGCTGCCAGCCTTGGCCCACGTGCCTTCACCTCCAAACACCCCCAGCAGGGAGGGGATGCTGCTGGAGTCACCAGACCAGAAACCTCTCTTGATGTCCAGCTGTGAAGGATCAGAACAGTGTGCTTGGCTGAAGTGCTGTGCATTTGTCTTCACTGTTCTGTAGCAGAACGCCTTTATGGGTCTCTGGAAGCATCATAGATGGCTTTGTGAAGGGAAGAGACAAAAATGTAACAGAAAGCTATGAAATATCATCAAAATCTCGTTCCATACTTTTGAGAGTAGAAGGGGGCAAACGTATCTCCTGCATCATCCCTGCAGATGATGAGCTTTCTCTGCCTTTGGCTGACTAACACAACCCAGTGAGTCAGATAAAAATCAGATTGAGGTTAAAATAGCTGATAGCTGGAGCTTCCTTTTGATCTACCCCTTAAAATTCTGTGCTGGGGGCCAAATTTTCTGTTAAATGAGTTGTTGCTATCACCTCAGCTGGCGTCATCGGTCTGTGCACTTCCTACAGATTTTCCCAGAGGGAAGTGGAACTGCATCAGTTCTTTCTCCTCTGCGAATTCTTTCCTGCATTCATTTGTGCCCCTGTCCTGTCTCTGTGTCTCTAGTTACCATTAATGGTCACTTCCATCCATTCCTTGCATCTGCGATCTCCATCAGTGCTGGGAGAGGGAAGGTGGTGAAGACTCCAGCTGCAAGCAAGGCGGTGGTGATCCACAAATGGTCTCCAGTTCTCTCCACCGTGTCCCAACCCCCCCTGGCAGCTCTGGGAGCAGCTCAGCATCAGTGTAATGCAGCTGTCGTCATGTCTGTGCAACTGCTCGCTGTGTTGTCACTTGCAATTCCTGCAGAGCTGTTCTGTGTCACTGACCCATCAGCTCCTGCTCAGTATGATGGAAAGGGAGGAGGCTTTAATAGGAATATTTCAGCATTTTTCTTACCCAGACTGAAGGGCGAGGGCTGCTTCAGGTCAGAACAGCTCCCAGCTTGCAGAATTGAGGCCATTGCAATAGCACTTCTGAGTTTAAGCAGGAATTTAACAAATGACAACAAGAGCTGCTGAGTGCTCCTGCTGTTTCCTCATCAAGATGTTTATCTCCTGCCTTGTGATTTGGATGCTCCTGTCTCTCCCTGGAGCTTGGATGGGGTCTGGTGTTGTAGAGATGAAGGCTTTTCCCTTCCAGTGATCCACTCCTCCTGGGGCAGTGGTAGTTTTCAATCATGTTTTTTCTCATCTTTGTGACAGCCTGTTGTCCCTGGTCTCTCTATGATGAGGTTTGCTTTCTGCCTCAGTCAGCACTCGGTTTAAGATGAGCTTGCTGAAGGCACTGCATTAATTAGCAGATGGTTCTATTGCTCTCTCTCATCAGTGCTCTTTGTTTCCTTTCCTTTCTCCTGAGCTCACCACTGCTGTGATCACCTGCTGCAGGCCTTGCCTGCTTGCTGGAGTCTCCTTGGGATGCAGATTGGGTGCTGCAGTTGCTGATCCTTTGTCAGCCTGACCTCGGGCAGTGCCTGTGTCTGACTGCTCTCTCTGCCCTCACAGTGCCCCAGGACCTGATGGATACCCAGGGCCCTGGCCTCCCTCCCATATGGCAGCCCAGCACCCGCAAGTCCTCCTGCTCCTCCTGCTCACAGAGCGGCTCCTCTGACGGTGCGC